TCCTACCGTGCGCTCATTTTACTTGAGTTAAAATAACTCACGTGTGCGCCGGACGTAACACCGTTTGTGGGTGTGATCATGTTGTCATTGGCCCAGTGTCACTGATGTGGCGCTGTTTCTTCACAGACGTCTTGTGAACTTGCAGAGAGCGGTAGACCAGGATTGTTTGACGCCTCTGAAAAAACTCTACTGCTAAAGAGGGCATTAGTATGCTGTTTCTGAAGAGTCACAGAGGACAATCCAACGCAGAGTTTGTGCTGATTAATAGAAGCGAAGAGCTAGGCGTGGGGAGGGCGGAGTTGAGGTGATTAGCCTTCTTATATGGTGGAGCAAGTATGCTACATAACTGTAGCAGACAGAAGATTGTGAAGAAGTGGATGCTAGGGAATTTGTCTGGCGAAAAGAATAACGAGAGTATGGGCGGCTACCAAATACAAACTCGCGAGTTTCGTTGTAGTGTTCGATGCTTTGTTTGCCGAGCGGGGGGAGTGTAGCATGCAACGAAGTAACTTGTACGATTAAGTCTGTGAGCTAATGTGAACTTTGCCAAGCGTGTTATTATTGGTTGCTTGATTAGTATTGGGTGTGGGGTGTGCATATAATGGCTTTGAGGCGGTCCTGTATGTAGTTGTTGGTTTATTGAGGAGACTATTGTTTTGGATACGGATACCAATTTACAAGATGACAAGCACTTGTATGCGTATACAGTGTATAGATGTTAGGCTGAGGCGGGGAGGTTAACTACTCAGATGTTTGGAGGGGCCAAATAAAAATATTGTTGTTTGCCCCACTCGACCGACCCCCCAAAAAAGGGGCCCGACTCAAACATTTTTATTGATCTTTCCCATTCTCTTTTTTTATTACAAATTGTATTACTGATACATATATAAATCTGTATCCACACAAGCACACCCGAGCATGTAGACACCATGCTGAATTTTGTAAAAGACCCCCCCCCCGTAATAAAAAGAAGGCGCCTACCACCTACCTTACCGCGAAGATCTTGTTCATTCGCTGCGGGCGTCGGGTGAGGGTTGTAGGGTCTAAATAAGATTTTGTTTAATTGTGCTTGCGCTGTCTTGATAGGCCGAGCTATCTGCTAGCCAGCAGACGCACTCCTGCCCATGCTGCGTGTTTCCTGCTGACGCGTGGACGGGGCTTGTCCGCTGCTCCTCGCAATCGTATACCTACGCCGAGCATTTCGCTGGAGTTCTCTGGGGGGGTTGGGGTAGGTGCCTGGGGTGGGGGGTGGGGGGGCTGCGCAGTAGGGATGATGTTAGACTTCTGCCTTGACAACGTGTTCGCAAGGCTGCCCAGCCTGCTATCTACAGACCTGTAGAGCGGTGAGCGATTCAGAGTCCACGGCACTCCCCACAGGGCTAATCGATGGATTTAGTGCCACAAAAACCCAGTGCAGAATATGTTCAAGCATTGCAAGAGTGAGTTGTGATTGAAGGTCACCACAGGCATACATGCTATAGTTCGCCCATGTGTGAAATTGCTGCCAAAACTGCATGGAATAAATACTGTATTGTGCATTCATAACGGTTGTTATTTTATCGACAATATACCGCGGCAAGTATGACTGTATCTAGCGTAGGCCATTGCATTCTTCTGGCAGACGGGGTGTGTGTGGTGTTCGTGCGACGTCGGGGGGTATAAAGGAGCAGACCGATCGACTGCAGGTGCTTCCCAGGAGTGGCGACGAGTGAAGCGCACAACCATTTCGCTTTGACGAATTGCCGAGGAGAGAGCTGTTTAGATTACAGAGCATGAGGGGAGGGGCCGAGGGGTGCAGTACGACAAGATTTTCGGGAAACTGTTCATACTAAATCACCACGGTTAGCAAAAGCGTAAGCAGTTAATGTGGTACTCAGAATGAACTGGGTGCTGGATTTTGGAACTGGGAGAACTAGGATGGCGTTGCACTGATGGAACCTCTAGCATGTCTACGTTGAAGAAAAATGAGCTGAGCAATAGAGATAAATCAGCTGAATTTTGCGGTGCACGGTTGCGTTGTTAGTGTGGGTCTGTCATAGAAAAGATTGCATTCTTATCGTTAGAGAGCAAGTTGGGGTAGCGCCACTATCACTAGCCCCAGACTGTGATAGATCTGAACAAAAGCCAGGATGCTTCCAAGAAAATGCGTCTTGGCGTAAGGTTCATTCCTTTATATGGTGGGTATTCACATAAGCCTCGTTAGCGTGAGGGACGTGCGCGGGGAGTAGTCTTAGCATCGATGGTGGGTTGATCTTATATCATTAGGCAGTTTTCCCCTGTTGCAGGGTGAGGGACCGGACAGCGAGGACGCAGTAGGAAATCTACGCACAAATTCAGGGCCGTAGCTATCATTAGGCAATAGGAGGCAAATGCCTCCTACAAAATTTCTCCAAAAAAAAATTACGAGAAACCAAAATTAAATCCCTATTACATGAACTAAGAAACAAAAATATCAAGACAAATTGATCGTGAGAATTAATTTGATGACAATGACAAACAGATACACTGTGAGTGATATAAATTCTGTAATATATGCAGAGAATGCACCACAGAGCACCATATAACCGTTGGCTTCTGGAACCCTTAAGCGGGCCCCATATCCCACGCCCTATTGGCTCGCTTCGCTCCTTGTTCTTTAACTCACAACTTTTGATTCCTACAAAATTTACCTCTGGCTACGGCCCTGCGCACAATTGGTTGCAGTGATTGCAGTTGCAACCTTAGATTGGTTATATGCGTACCTTGTTAGGTTAAATACTCAGACATGCACTCTTAGTAGAATTCATCGCTTGATGGAGACAGCGAGGATAGAATAGGTTTGGAAGGTAGGTGTGCCAAATATAGGCAAAATCCAGCAGAGGACAAAAACAAAAAACCCAATGCAAGATGACAGAATCATAGTGATGCAATATAAGATGGAATAAAACACAGGAGTAAACGAGAAAGAGAATGAGCAGCAAGAGAGGCATACACCATAAAAGACAGACACAAGCAAGTTGCCTATTAGCACGTTAATCCTATATCACGTGCTAGAGAGACAGATCCTTATAATATAACAATCCTACATACAAATACACACATGCTACCATTATAAACTAGACGGTAATTGATGCATAGTACTTAGTAGTGCATGCAGTGATGCACATGCTGTTGGTAGGGAGAGAAGCATACGTACCGGTCGATCTCTCTTGATGGGAGACATGTTGTGATGCAACAGGAATTCATCAATGTCTTCTGATTCGCTACTGTCTCCGACACTGCAAGCACGTGCAATCGAGCCGAGTTTTAATTGCAATTACAAAAACAACAACAACAACATGGCTACCGACAACGACGACAACCGCAATAAAAACAATACCAAAACTAACTATGCCATCTAAATCGAGTAAACCCCTTATTTATGGTTCATTTTTTGACATTTCTTTCATTACTATTATAATATCTGTATTATTATTTTGGATCCCGCGTCGTCGGTCATGACCTGTGGGTGCATACCTGTCATTGCCACCTAGATCGCTATCGGTCATTATCTCGTCTTCGAGCGCATTCTGTAGGTCATCTATTCTCTTGAAGGCCAATCGAAGGTCACTCTGCAGCTGTTCAGTTGTCGCCTCAGCCGTCTCCATGCTTAGCTCCTGTGAATTAACAGCAATGCACACGGTGCTGTGACATCCAGGTCCGCTGCCCGGCTACTAAACCTTCTTTCTTGTTTTACAACACTGTGTAAGCCAATGTGTTTCATATTTGAATTCATATGGCCTTGCAGTTTTGTTTTGGGCTAAATTATAAATTTTAGGACACCATGGGAGGGAGGTGTCAAGGGAAAACGTTTCATAAAATGTAGGTGCAAAACAACAACCTTAGCCAACCGTCATCGACACTTTTTATGCAAGAACGGGATAAGGTTACATATACAACATGGAATTAATAGGAATTGGCATAGAGCCAAACCAAGTAAAGCAGCCACGGCAGTTTGTTGCCGTCGAATTCGGACAGATTTTCTAGACACCACAACAAATAAGGGGGATAATGATACCACTTGGCTTTAATTAAGTTAAATTAAATCCTTCCCGCGCCTATATGGCGCATAGGGCGGTGCCTATCTCCGTTTCAGTAACCCTGAGGCCCCGCAGCTGCTTTCACAGTAAATGCTACAGTAGGGGGTTAGTCCACTGGTAGCACTGCGAGTTAAACTTGCCATACTCTATCTCTATTTGCTGAATGCTAAGCACAGAAGCCGTGTGCACCATTTTTCAAGTCTTTGGTATGACCCGGCCGGGACTTGAACCCCCGACCTTCCACATGCGAGGCGAGCACTCTACCATTGAGCCGTCGCTGTGGGCTTTGTTTGATGGTAAAATAGGATCCCCTCCCCCTGGCACCACCACTTACCAAGTCGTGCTTCCTCTGTGAAGCCTCGGATTCCTTCCTGTTCAGGTTGGCGTACTCCTCCTTCAGTTCTCGCAGCTCTCTCTGCAGCTTCTTCACCTCCTCCTGCGCCTTCTGCTCGGTCCCTCGCCCGTTCTCCTTCTCCGCTTGGAAGTGGTCGATCACTTCCTTCAGCCGACAGATGGTCGTCTAGCAAGCGAAAACAGATTGTTCAACTGTCAAACATCTCTCTGTTGTCTGTCTCAACATTACACGTCATGCGGCAATCCATGGACAATGATGCTAATGATTCTCCACATACTATTGCTATTATATACTACTTACTATATATATTACATTACTTCTAAGCTATGTACCATTTACAAATACACTACTTACTAAATATTCCACTTGATTTTCTGTATACTCCATATTCTCCATATAATATTGCTATTATATTCTATACTTCTAGACTTTGTACCCACTTGGTTTGAGTTACCGTTTAGTCTTACTACTTACACTACTCACTATTCTACTATTCTACATACATACTATCGACTATATACTACGCTGTACTATAAGCTATATAATATTATATACGATATACCATATAAAGGTGTGTAGTTAGTAAAAATCAATTAATAGTGACTAGATATTCACTATTAGCAGTACGAATGCACGAGTACATTTGATCCTTCGCGAAAAATGTGTTTCTGACAACCGAACAGAAATCAACGGAGTGACGCCAGCACTCGGCTGCACAAACAAAGCCACCGCCATCGATAAATGAGCAGACACACTACTGCCACCCTTTCGCTCCCTAACACCGAACAAACCCCCCCCCCCATATCGACCGCATGTACGCGCACAGGCGGGCAGCGGATAAGTCAGGCCATAATAAAAATATTGTTGTTGTGGATCCAGTCAGCTTCTCTTTTCTTTCTGATGCGGATCGTGTGT